GCTCCCCTGCTTCTCCTCCGCACCGCGAATCCCGAGCCGCCTCCCCGCGTCCGCTCCTCAGCCCGGCGGACCCGCTCCTCCGCCGCCTCCGCCCGCCTGCCTCAGTGCCTGAGTGCCTGCCTGCCTGCCTGACTGACTGACCGCCGCGCGGCGGGGGCGGGCAGCGCCGGCGCCAGGCCACGCCCCTCAAGGCCACGCCCCAATCCCCCCTCTGCGCGCGGCGGGCCACGCCCCCTCACTATAGGCACCTCCCGCCTCACTCGTCCAGAGGGCGGGGGAGGAGAGGTGATTGGCGGCTCGAGTAGCCAATGGCGACGCGGCACTCGCCGCCCCGCCTAGTCGCGCGCTCTCCCCGCCCCTCCTCCCCCGGTGGCGGCCGCGCCTCAGCGGCGGCGGGGCGAGACCCTCCCCGAGGGGGGCCCGACCCCTCGCCCCCTCATGGCCCTGGCGGGGCCGCCACAGCCCGGTTCCCCTCAGGCACTCAGCCCCTTGCCGGGTCGTCACCCTCCGCTGATCCCCGGCCTGCCTCGGGCCGCCTCCCTCACAGGCCCAGCCGCGGCTCTGGCCTTCCTCCCTCACAGGCCCAGCCGTGGCTCCCTGCTGGCACGGCACCCTCCTCCTCTCCTCCCTGGGGTGCCAGCAAAGGTGGGGACACACTAACGAAAGGATAGGGTGGGTTTGGGGCACTAAAAGCACCAAACTTGAAAATTGCAGTAAGGCCCAACCCCGGGGAGGCAGCTCCCCGTGAGGCCTGGGCCGAGCAGGGCACAGCTAGAACCCGCCGGCAGCGAAGAGCAAAGGCTGAAGAGAACCAACAGTTCTGCAAGAAAAACAACCACGTTGCCGCATTTTTTGTCACACTGGCTTGCTGGGGCTGGTGGCTGCCCTGGAAAATGGCACAGCCAGCAAGACAGGGACAAAAGGAGAGCTTAAGCCCCTGCTAAAAATCACACTTCAGTGAGAAGCACAGGACAGTAGCTGGAAGCCAAATATTCTCCCCGCTGTGCTAAAAATAAAGCTGGATTTTGGGGGGTGCTGGCTTATGTGGTCGTAAAGAGGGGTTTTTTTGGTCTGCTGTTAGATGAAAGAGGCTGAGGGTTATTAATAAACTACACAATAAACAGTAAGAAGGTGAGTACCCGTGCAGCAAATACCTCAAGGCACACAGAGTAATACCAGCCTCAAAGACTGCGTGTTTCTGTTCCTCCAGGGAACTTGAAGAGCGGATGAATGATGCTAGATCAGTGCCCACGTTGCACAGTGTTTACCATACATGGCCAAAACCAAAAGCTAAGTCTAACTTCCTTATATGTTTTGGCCAATATTTGCGAACTCGTTTGCATGTGGTTAGGTGCTTAAGGGGCCTGATTTTTCAGGGGAGCAAAAAACCTGTAACTCCCCTATAAATCCCTCTGAATTCGGAGAAATATGCGTGTCGTGATGAGCTCAGCTGAGAACCCTGCTCTTCTCCCATGAAACCACAAACAGGACTGTGAACTGCCCCCTGTTAAGTGATAGCTGTGTGTCAGAACATGCAGAAAACCTCACAGAGACACATTTGTCATGGTCTTGCTGCTCTGACTGATTACAGCTGATGGAAACATCAGATGCCACAGTAGCTACAAATTAAACAAAAGCAAAAGTTATCCAGCAGTTGTTAAACTTTGACATGAGTTTAACCACTGATTCAACAGAGCAGGGAAGTCTCTCTGACGTACCAAGCAACACCTTGATAACTGATTCAACAGAGCAGGGAAGTCTCTCTGACGTACCTTGATAAAAAAAATTATACACCCAAAGATTAGAGTTGCAAGTCTGCATCCCTGCCCCGCGCTGCCAGTGGCACCAATTACCCTGGAATTAATACCTTCCTTCTGAAAGCCGGCCCAGCGTGCTTACTCTCCGCCCTCCTCCCTCCAACAACCTCTTTAAAGCTAAAAAAGAAGAAAACAAAAGCAGTTTGGCAGCCCGGGAGGGGACCTGCAGGTAGTCTGTAGTTTAGTGGGTTTAGATGGTGATTCATATTTTCCACGTAGGTACGTGACTTGCTGAAGGTCACGCGGTGAGTCAGTGATAGAGCTGAGTGTCTTGACTGCCAGTCCCACGGCCCTTAATTTATTAGGAGTCTCACAGGGTTAAAACTTTATAAAAAAACCTATTACTACAAGCATAGAAAACGGTACTTAAAAATATTACACGTATGTATAGCTCCTTCTGGCTCAAAGCAGTGGGCGAGCTTGAAATGGTATTTTAATAGTGTTTGAGGTGATGCTCGAGGTGATGCTGGGCTGAAAAACAGGGAAGGCAGCAGTACCCAGCCCTACCCCACAGCTTGGAAAAGAAACCAAGGAAGACCAAAAACCAAGAACCAAGGAAGGTTTTTGGCATCCAGCTAAAAAGAGAGGGATGCACAGAGGACACCAAGTGAAATTTGTCCCGAGAAATCTGATTGAGACCTCAATGAATTCCACCTGAACGGCCGGTGCCCGTTGTCACTGCAGGGATGGACACTCCTGCAGCTCGGCACGTCCTTGGGAGAGTCACTAAGGATGGGCTCACAGGGAAACAACACCTGCTGAATTTTCTCTAGTGCTTCCTTAAACCTCTGGATGGAAATGCTCCAAAGATCACTCGGATCCTGACCTGGATTAATGAGCCGTTTCGATCGCAACAGCCCACCGTACGGGGTGATGAAGGAACGACACGGATTTCAGGCTGAAATCATCAACACCAGAAGGAACAGCTAAGGTTTTCCACATGCTCTTTGGTCCCGCTGTAAACAGTAATCTTCATCACTTCAGCTGAATAAAATCATTCCAACAAACAGTACTTAAATTACAGCCAGAGTGATGTCAGCTTAACAACTTGTCAAAATATGCCACGAATTCTAATTTTTGGAAAGGAAAATAGCCTATTACCAAATTCTTGCAGCTACAAGGAACCCCACAACAAAGTTTTGTCCTGTTTTATCCCTACCGACATGCCTGATTATTTAATTTTGCAGAAAAGGTGCAGAATTTATGCGGAAAACACATTCCACTGGTTTTATCCATCCCACATATTTTACCCTCCGCTACGTCGGTGCGCGATTGCTGCAAAGACTCTCTCCCACAGCCTTTATACGGAAACAGCGCCGCGTCTGCAGACTCCACCTCTGAAACTTAGGTCAGCTGCTAAATTTAGCTTCCTTGCAAATATGCATCAATTCCATCGCTGCAATAAATCACCCCGGTTTGTTCCTATGACGATCTTGACGTGCCTGATAAGTAACGCGTTTGGTATGTCCCCCCCAACCTTCTCTGCCAGTGCTGTGTTATTAGTTAGAAAAGGTGAAAAAAAAAAACAAAACACCTGCGGCACCTCTTTCTAGGAGAAATTTTGATGGTTTTGGACTTCAGCTGATGTTACACAATTTGGCTCGGAGCCTCTGCAAGATCTCAGCCCGGGCGGCAAACCCAGTCCTTCAGAACATCAAGACAAGTCACTCGAGGGATGAATTTGCCTCAAACATTTCAATTTCCTCAACTTCGCATCGCTAAATATATTCTGAGGGAAGGAAAAGGGCTTACAGAGGGGTTAGAGAGATCAGCAATTGAAAGTCCTGTTATTTTGCAGCTTAATTTCTACGTCGCGCCAAATGTGCCAAACGTGACACTTTGTGTTTCAGACCTTGGGTTTGCAGATATCCGAGTTATACAACTTTTGAAGGACGTTTGTGTCCACTATTTATCTATTTCTTTCTCAAAGCCTTTGGATTAGTTACTATATCATTATTAATTATTATATTTAAATAACTTTACAGGAAGCACGAGGTTCTCCCACCTAAAAGCTGTGTATTTTTATACGGTTTCTTCTATGGCTCTCACGATTTAGATACCCAGGGCCAGATTCGGCAGCACTGAGAGGAGCTGCTCCCATGGAAATCGGGGACGTCACCATCAAACGTTGAGCAGCTGCCAAGACACAATTGTCCTAACACCCACCCCGTAACAGCTCTTGATTACAACTAATCAATTCTGGCTCTTGGAGGGGATTACGCGTTCCGCCCGGGGAAGCGGTCGCCCTGCGCTGATCTGTTCCCCACATCCAGCAAAGCGTTTGTCTGGAGAGAGAGAAAAGTGAGCAAAATCCATTCCCTTTGGCCTTATTCAATCCTTGGCCAGAAAGGGGAGCTGTAGAATTATGGAATGAAGATAAGGAGAGCAGTATGTTCCATCAGATTGTTTCAAACAACAGGCAGGGAGTGTGTGTGTGTGAGGGTGTATCAGAGCGCGGGGACGAGGAGGGAAGAGGAATATGTGAATTAAAGCAGAGAGCTGGGAGGCAGCACCTCTCAGTTTTATTCCCAGCTCTGCCCCACTTTTCTGGGTGGCACCGAACGTGTCCCTGTGCTGTTTCCAGTCCCAGTAAATTGGGTTTCAGGTGGCAAACCCCCTCCCCAAAGGGTCACCAAAACCCACCAGGGTGAGGGAGCGTTTGCACCGACAGGGTGTGTGTGTGGCTGGAAGGGCTGGAGACTGGTAATAATCAGTGAGCATTAGGTCAAGATGGGCGTTAATAATTGATGCTATCGTTATTAATGATTTAAAATACATTTCATAAAGCACATCTATCACTGCCTGTACACACTCTCATGCATGTTGTATGCAGGAATACAGATGTCACACACATCCCTCCCGAAACACCCGCTGCCCACAGTTTTTACACTGAAAGGAAATCGCCAAATTCATTTTGAGCCACTCTATTTATTTCCTCACCTATTTTTCTCCTCCATCATTGTACAGGATTGGCAAATATATTTTTCTTTCTTTTTTTTTTCCCCATTTTTGTGATAAAGGAGAGGTGGTCTCAATACCTAATTAAGATGTTGGGAAGCCAAATTAAAACCAAGCAATTAGTTGCAACAGATGGGATTTTCTTTGTTGCTACCTCCACTACACCAGCTGATTAACTAGGGAGAGAGAGAGAGACAAGAAAGCAGAACACAAAAAGGAAAATGATGAAAAAAAGCAAGCTGTATTTTATTTACAACAGGAATATCCTGGGATTGATGCTTCCTATCATTCTGAACAGCAGGAAAAAAAATCAATCAGCCAGGCAGCAGGTAATGAGTGGGGGCTTTGAGCAGTGAGAGGTAACGTGAGGTTTGGCGCTGGGGCTCCTGTAGCTCTCCATGTTACACTCATCACATATCCTAGTCTTGTCCTCATCATTCAACCAGTTTTGAATCCTTTTGCCATCTCGTTCTGTTTCTCTCCCTGCTGTCTAGGATCAAGTTGGACCAAAGGTGCTGGAAAAATCAGAGGCATAAGAAAAGGAATCATAAAGCGGTAAATATAAGCGATGTTTGTGTTCAGTGTGAAGTGTGGGAAGATAGAGGTTTAGAAACAGATTTAAAATAACTAAATGGACTATTTCATGGGCAGAGCAAAATGAGAAGCTCTTCCTACTCTTCCTTATTGCAACATTTTCCCAGTTCAGCACTGAAATAGATTGTCTTGACCCTCCCTCCCTGTTTCTTCTGAAGAACAAGTGGGTAAACATCTGTCAGGAGTGATTTAGCTGCGGCCGGTGTTGCCTTAGGGAGGGAGCACCATTTCTCCCAGTCCCTTCTCACCCTCCTCCTTCCATCAGATCACCTCCTGCATCCACCCGCTCCTCCTGCTCCCCCCAAAAGGATGCCCTCCTCATCGCTGAGGGTCCTCCTTCCATCAGATCACCTCCTGCATCCACCCGCTCCTCCTGCTCCCCCCAAAAGGATGCCAGCCTCATCGCCGAGGAAAGCATCCCTCCCTCTGATCTGGCTGGTGGAAACGTGCCCTTATCAGCTGCTTATCACCCTTTCATCAGACAGATCTCCCACTCCAGGAGGTGCTGAGAGGCTGCGGGGACCCAGACACCCCCATCATGTGGGTACCAGCACCTCTCCCTGTCACACGGCAGTGACAAATAACTTCACAACCCTATTTCTTTACATCAGGACTTTACAACGTCTCTTCAGCTGCTTCCCGAGGGGATAGGATCTAGTTTTCCTTGCTGTAGGCTTTTTTTTGTCACTAACACACACACACACCCCATCTCCGTGGCAATGTCCACATTCTGACTCGATTTCGTGACCTCTGTGGACGAGAGTAATTGACAGCACAATGTACCCAGCGCCGTGGGATAATCACACCTATTTTTTTTTTAAGTCAACACTCTATTCAATTCAAAGCTAGCATAGATTTCCTGCCCCCTAAAACATTTATTTTTCCCTTATAAGGAAATCCACAATTGCAGATTGTCAATAAACAGAAGATGTAAGTTAACCAGCGTGGGTCTGCTACGTCCTCTGCAGGATCCAAACTCCCAAACACTCATTTCTAACCTCTCCCTATTTCTGCACAGCCACTGTTCTACCACTAAAATCTCAACAAAGTTCATTTATCCATAGTTTTCCAGTGACAGAGTTGATGAAAGTAGATGTCATTCTCCTGAATGACTTACTCAGCTAAGTCACGGCGCAGGAGAAAAAGAACTTAAGGGGAAAAAATGCCTCCTTTTTATGCCATAGCTAAAATAAAATGATATTGGCCCACCCAATCCCTAGAGAGACAGAGGGAAATAATCCCACGTGACAGCAGGAGAAAGTATCATATGGGCACTTCTGCACTGTGTCTATTGCTGAAAAGCAGTATAGGAGTATAAAGAAGTATAGGAGTACTGGATATTATACTTATTTATGTACAGGAGAGTCTTCAAAAGCAAATCCCTTCTCCCACAAAACAGTTTTGCTGCGAGAAGTACTTCCACCAGGCGAAGAGCAGCTGTGAATCAACACCTGATTTTCATCCTGCCTCCTTACGACCGCGGACGCCTCCCGACTGCCTCCCACCTACTGCTCGCCGGTGACAAGGCAGGTATTTTCCCAAAAACCTGGCTCCCGCCGCCTTCCCACCTCCCCTGGGCCACCCAGGGTCCCCCCCCTTGGTCCCCTGCCAGGAGGAACCCTCACACCTCACCTTTCCTGGTGACGCTGGCCGGTGGCGTCGCTGCCTTCCCCTCCGCCGCCTTGGGCTTTTCGAAGGTTTTCTTTGCGTCGGCAACTTTAAGCACGTTCTCATCCTCCTGACTCTTCCTCCCCTTCCGCTCCGGCTCCTCCGAGCCCCCTCCTCCTGCAGTCCTGCCTCCAGCGAGCTGCTCCGCGCCGGCAGCTGCCCACTGCTCCTTGGCAGGCTTGGCCGCCTCGCCGCAGGACTCCAGCAGCGCCTCGGTCATCGCCACGGTCTTGCTCATGCTCAAAGCCAGGCTCTCCTTGCTGTGGGACCTGACGGGAGGGGCCGGGGGGGTTTTTTTGGGGCAGTACGAATCGAGCATCCCTACATCTACTTCACCCCCGAGCTGTTCCCTGCTCTCCAGGAGCTGGCTGCTGCTCTGTCTCGGAAGTTTTTCAAAGCCTCTAGGCACCGAGGCATAATTTGCAGCCGCAGAGACCATCCTCTCGAGGCTTTTTGCTACCTGTTTGTCTGGCTCGGGTTTCCTGGCCAGATCCTCCTCGCTGGTCTGGCCGTTTTGGCAAAGGTCCGGGGTGCCATCAGGCTGGGGGGTGAAGCTCACCGCTTGCCTGAAGCTCTCGGCTGCTCTGCTGCTTTCTCTGGGGACATAGGAAAGAGATGTTGCTGCCTCCTGTTTGCTTTGCAAAATGTAATCCATGAGCTCGAAGCTATCCGACCTGATGGGGACACTCGGTTTGTTTCTCTCCGAGGGAGAGTTCCGGGTCAGTTTATTCACTTGCCTGTTCTCTGCACTGCTTTCCGAGTCCGAACGGCTTATCTGCCTCCTCAGGACTCCTTGGAAAGAGTTGAGCCTGTTGAGGTTGGGACTTGCCACCTTCCCATCCCCCTGGTAGCCCTCCTGAACCGCAGGTACCTTCTGCTCTGTTTCCCATTCCTCCTCGGGTTCTGCCTCTGCCTCTTCGATCAGGCGCCTGTACTCGCTCTCCTCCAGCCTGTACACCACCGGCTTCACCGTCCTGCCCCTGCCCGCTCGCCCGGCCCCAAACTCCATTTCGTACACCTTCGGAGGGGCTTCTCCCTCCTCCCCTCTCCTGCACCCTTTGGAAGCGGGGTGCTCTTCCCAGCACGGGTCCCCTTCCAGCCCCCACGGCCCCCTCTGCCCGCTGCTCCTCATCTCGGACCTCTTGGCAGGGCTTTGCGTGTCGCTCCGGGGGTCGGGGATGTCCCCCCTCTCCAGCCCGTGCCCCAGGCCCTCCTGGCTGAGTTGCAGCAGAGTATAATCCTCACACGTCCCCGCAGAGGCTCCCCGGGAAGCCGCGCAGTCTCTCCCCCTCGCCTGACTTGTGTCATCCTGTAAATATCCATAGTACTGCCAGGTGGAGGCTTCCATGGCGGGGAGTTCAGTCACTGTAAATTCCTGGTCCAAAAAAAGTTTGGGAACTGCCCGGCCAAGATTTCTTCCCACCTTGGGTCTCGGCAGGCTTTCAGCACCGCCTTCTCCTTCCTCCGCTACTGGGAGAGACGGAGGCAGCTTGGAAGCCTCCGTGCCTGGGTCATGTGAATCGGCATTTTTTAGCCTCATGGCCAGCAGAGATGAAAATGCACGTTGGCGTGATGGAGCCCATCCTCTGCGGCCGGGCAGGAGGCTCCCTCCCAGCACAACAGCTGTCAAAAGTTGATGCTACGCCGGTCCCTACCCAAATATATCCCACCTGAATAACGGGAAAAGCAACCCCCTCGGCTTCTAATTTGCTGGTTTGTAGCACTTTACAGGCAGGACTTGCCACCCAACCGCATCTTTCTTCAGGGACTCTCCTCTTCCCCCCAACCTGAGGCAGCAGTAACTCCCCGTGGTCCTGTGCAGCCTCCCTCCCTGCCTCCCCTCCGATCTCGCCGCTTCCAGAGTGATTTACTGCCAGCTCCTCTGCTGGCGCTCGTCTGGGCAGGATCAACCTCCGTCAGCTCCTCCGTGGAGCTTAGAAACCCGCATCCCTGCCCCTGGCTCCCTTCCCTGCCTCCCTGCCCCACGGACAAGGAGCCTCTCCCCCCCGGGTGCTCCAGCCTTGGTCCGTGTCCCGGTGCTTCGGGCAGAGAGGGATCGGTCAGAACGGTCTGTGGGAATGGGTTATTGCTGAGAGAATTGCTGTGACATTAAAAAACCCTCCCCGGGATAAACACAGAAGCCCGACGGCAACTTCGGAAACAAGTTTCCCTCAGGAGACTCCAAAACGTAACCGATCAAAAAAATCCCTATGAACGCCCTGGGCATTTCTCTAAACGGCCCCGCAAGCAGAAAGTTCCTCCCTTTGGGTAATCCTGCTGCCAAACGGGCTCCTGTAAAACACTGGGGAAGGAGGGGGAGCAGGAGAAGCTGGAGGGCTCTAATCCCTTGCCACGCTGCCGGGATGCCTGGCATTGCAGGCAGCAGCTCCCACCCCGGCAGCTCTGCCCCAACGCTTTGCCTTTTATGGTGCACGAGGAGCCCAAGCCCCAGGAGCATCCCGAGGCTGGATGGGGGGAAAACACCTACATGGTCCCTAAAAAGACACGGGTGCAACCTGCGCAGGTTGTGCCCGGGGGGCTGTTTCCTCCCTGGGGCTGAGTTACCCCAGTGTCAGCCCCAACAGCCCCCCCGGTGACCGGCCCCAAGCTAAAGGCATCTCACAGACACTCCATGGGGCTGGAAAATCCACATCCAGAGCCCCCGGGGGGACCCTGGCAGCTCTCTGAGTGCAGCCCACGCACTCACACGGGCTGTGGGGGTGACACCTGGACTATGGTCTGTCAGGATGCCACCACCTCATCCCCTGCTGCAGGAGCCGGGCTGAGGAGCCGGCGTCAAGGGGAAAAGGAGGGAGGGATGAGGGTTATCCCAGCCCTTATCAGCCCGGGAGCCAGGCAGGGATCATTTTTTTATCAATGCACATTGCAGAGCTACTCTGCAGCGAGACAAAACACCATTTGTTACCGCTGGAAGTTTTAAATCTCTGCTGAGGCTGCCCAAAACAAACACAACGGCTTCCCAGCAGGGCCGGGGCGGGCGGCCGGGCTCCCGACCCACGCCAGGAGCAGAGGATGCTCCCTGCTGACACCGGCGGTGGTGGGGGTCAGGGGGGACACCTCGCAGCACCGAACCCCCTCAGTAGTGAAAATGCAGCAGCAAGGTTTGCTGACTTTTGAGCGAGTGACAAATTTTACAGCCAAGTCACCTCTCCGTGGGATAAACTTGAGCCTGGGGCACGCTTGATGTCGGCCCAATGACCTGATCAATAATTTGGGGTTCTTCCCCTTGAGCCAACCCCGTTGGTCCCCCCGTGCCGAAGCCAGATACATTCTAGGGTTCTCAAAAACCATCACAATTTGGACATATAACATTGATTTTTTTTCTGGCCTTCCCCTTGAGCCAACCCCGTTGGTCCCCCCGTGCCGAAGCCAGATACATTCTAGGGTTCTCAAAAACCATCATGATTTGGACATATAACCTTGATTTTTTCTGGCTTGCCCTGGGTGGGGATGGATGGCAGAGCCCAGGGCTGTGTGGCGGCTGGACCTTGGGTCCTGCACCGCTCTCCTGCGAGCTGCTTAGTCAAGGCTTGGGAAAGTCCCACACGGGAGCAAGGCAGCTTCTGCTCCCCAAGCCTCTGCATAAAAGGCAATGGCAGCGGCAGCAACGTCTCCCCTGCCCCATCCCTCAATGCAGAGAGGAAGAGACTTTTAGGGAATACGCAACGCCCAGGGCCAGGGCTGAGGCTGGAGCAAACCCCGGGGGCTGAGGTGGTGGAGACGCTGCTCTCACTATGAAACACACGTGTTTGTGTGTGTGTGAGGGCGCAGAGAGGACCTCCCACCCCAGGGTTCTCCAACCAGCAGCCCCTCGGCAATGGCTGGATGGAGAAGGAGCCCCCCCCCCGCCACCTGCTGAACCCCCACATCGTCCTGCCCCTCTGTCTGTCGCAGCCACCAGCTCCTCTGGCATGGGCTGGGCCAGCTCTCAACTTCTGCCTAGAAAAATATTGACTTTTCTACCCCTTTAGAGGCCAGCGTGGCTCTCCAGCCACCACCCAGTGTCAACAGACACAGAGGCATCCACCCAGGGCTGCAGGAGACCTCCCGCTGGAGGAGCTTCTCCCCATCGCCATCTCCAGCCACCACCCAGTGTCAACAGACACAGAGGCATCCACCCAGGGCTGCAGGAGACCTCATGGAGGAGCTTCTCCCCTTCGCCGCAGGAGGCTCCTGGGGGTGAAATGCAGTGGTGGCCCTTTGTGTCCACTTTGTGTCACTCAAACCAGCCTCGTTCACCCACCAAACCTTCTCTTTCCCCCCAGTAACACCATGACAACATCTGCCCAGCACCCCTGTGGTCACCCCACCCCAGCGTGAAACTGGGAAGCGCTGGAAAGGAACCATCCTTCCCCCATCAGGGGCAAAGTACGGAGTCGAGAAGGTCCTTGAGGAGATTGGTTCCTTCCTGATCACTGCTGATCACTCGTGGGTTCCTCCACTGGGACGGTGAGGTGAGGACCTCATGTCTTCCCACCACCCTGGGCCCCAACTGAGAGGGCACCCAGTGCCAGGCTGCCCCCACCATCATCTGCTTCACACTCAGGCGTCTCCTTGTGCTGGTGAAGCTATAAATAATCCCTCCGACCGTCGCCGGAGAGAACTCGTGTTGCTCCAGATGTTGCCCGGCTTCGCCATAGCAACGTCACAACAGGATGTAACATTGGGCCATAACAAGAACGGCTCCGCAAGGAACCGACTTTCCATCATAAACAAGAACAAAAAAAAAGACACACGAACTCACCAGCGGCCCCAGGGCACCCTCCAGCCATTCCCAGTCCCGTCTCCTGGTGCCTCTCCAACGTGTCACCTCTTTGATGCAACGAGCCATGGTAGGGAGGTCTCCATCTCTGGGAAGCCAGGATGAGCAGGGAGCATCGTCTTGTGAATCAGCTGAGGGAAGTGTGAGCTAAAGGAGCCAACAGCAAACATCTGACCCCAAAATGGTGTTGGATTAAGGGACAGGCTCTGTCCCAAGGACCTCAAACAGCAACACCACAGCGAGAAAGGTGGTGTCCCCCCAAACCAGAGAACCTCTGGGGCTACCAGCCCAGCTCCAGCTCTGCCGTGGCTCAGCGCTGGAGAGTTGACCCCGGGGTGTAAGAGCTGAACACACACACACACACTCTCACACTCACTCCTGCTGTTTCCCTTCCTGTGCCATCCCACACACTCACACTCACACACACACACACTCACTCCTGCCGTTTCCCTTCCCATGCCGTCCCGTAAGCACGTCTGGGCAACTCTTGGAAGGCCCTGACACAAAGCCAAGTGCTCCGTGATGGAGAACTCAGCACGGGGGTCTCTGTCCTCCATCAGAGGAGCCTCAGATGCCAGTCCCAGCTCCTGATGCCTTCTCTTCCACAGCAGGTACCTGCCTGTGGTGCGACAGACCCCGCTCCTGCATCAGGGAGAAGAGCCATGTTTCCACCAGACAAGTGTTCTCAGGTGAGAAGAGAAGACCCAAACCCTCACAAACCCATCCCAGGGAGCCCAGGGCTCTCTCCTCCACCATTTCCAGATTATTTTTCCAGCTGGGGAATGGCTGCCCACGCGTGAGCCCCTGCAAAGCCGCCAGCGCAGCCCAGAAACGTGCCGGTGACACTTGGTGGCATCAACAGGGTGACACTCAGCTGCCAGGGAGAAGAAAGATGTTCCCCAGCCCCGTGCTCTCACACAGCACCTTGCTGCACCCTTAACCCCAGCCTCTGCTAGGGCTGTGGTAGGATTTAAGCCAATTAATTCACCCTCGATGAGTTTGTGGCACGAGGAGTTGGCAAATGAACATCGTGGAGTTGGTGGGAAGGGCTGGTTCCTTCCCTGGGTCCTGCTGGTGGGACCTGGTGGAGGGTTGTGGCTCCTCGGTGCCGGGGTGGGTGGTAAATCAGGCTTTGCCCCACTTGACGACGGGTGACAAGACACCAAGCCAAATCATCACCCCCACCAAAAACAAAAGACAGTAAAAAGCAAACATTTCTGGTGGGGGTTAACGACTCTTGGAGGCAATTAGCAAGCGTGCCAAAGCTGGAGAGCATCCCCAGGCTGCGCTTTGCTGGGCTGCCAAGGTAAACACTGACATGTTCCTCCCCGACGCGGCTCTGGAGAAGCGAGAACAATCCCGGGCAGCAACGAGCCTCCTCGGCCGCCGCTCGGGACGGACGCTCGCTCTTTGCCTTTAAAGGCAAAATTTGGCGAAGGCCCGGGCAGGGCTGGTCCCACCTCGGGTGGATGGTCGGGGAGGCAGCGGGAGCAGGAGAAATCCCAGGATTTTTCACTCTCCTCGGGCTTTTCACGCTGGGTTTTGCCCTTTCGGGGAGGGAGGCTGCAGAGCAGGTCTGGGGGAAGTGAAAAGCCCGGGTCTCTGCGGCAGCATCAAGCCCCCTGCTCCAAATAAACACTTTTCAGTCACTGTCACACACGCTGTCACACACACACGCTGCACACACACATGGTGTCACACACACCAGGGCTCCGCTACCGGCACTGGCGCTGGCGAGCGCAAGAAGCTTCTTCTTAAACCCAGCCTGGAGTCTCTGAAAAGAGGCAAGAGCAGAGAACGACAGATTTCACTTCTCCTCCTAAGTATATTTCTATTTTGTTCCCTTTTTCCCTTAGAAATCCTGCAAAAGAGCCCGTGCCGTGGCTCGGTGTGTTCCTGCAGCACTCACCACCCCGGCAGAGCGGCTGAGACACAACCAAAAGGGACAAAAGCATCCTCCCGTGTGGCCTTCAGAGGCAGAAAACAGCCAGGATTCCCCCCAGAAAAGGGGGGAGCGCAGCCAGGACAGACGGGAAGAGATAAC